AAATTTTTCAATGTGCTCCTTGGCAATATTAAAACAAGATAATTTAGAAGATCAAAAACGGGAAACCAATTAGGAACAAAAACACCCTTCAGGAAATGCAACTATTTGGCAGTAAAATAATGTGATAAGTAGTCCTTTAGCAATAAACATGATGCTAAATGGATTAGACTTATAATTTCCAAATAGATCACAAATTTTATTTAATTTCTAATTTATAATTTGTTGAAATAGCACAAGCCAATATCAGGTATTTTACTTGCAATTGAAATTCTTTTAAGTATTAATTTTCTATTAAGGTTCTTTAAGTAGCTAGATCAGGATTTTAAATTAAAGCAATATAAATATTTCTGTAACCTCACTCTTGAGATTAGTCCAAATATTCAATAAGTGTATTTTGAGAATTACCAATATAGAGGTCATGTAATGCTTAAGAATAGCTTTCTTAGGTGTGATATCTAAAATATCCAGGGTGTGACATCTAAAATTTCCAGGGTGTGATATCTAAACTTACCAGAAAATTTCTAATTAGACAAATTATTCCCTACTTGTCTTACATCAATTGATATTAGAGCAAAAACTTTCTACACTCAAACACTCAAAACCCTCATCCAAACAGATTATAAACCTTCTGATAATCACTGAAAATGTCACTGTAAAAAGACAACCACTATCCCAATTTCTCAACCTAATGCTAAAACATTTTCTGCTAAGAATCACTTTTGACATTAGTTTTGTTATTCAGAAAAAGCATTTTAAGAATCTATCTTTCAGGTTATACGATGAAATCAAATTTAAATGTGAAGCTTAAGACTTCTCTTAGGTATGATATCTAAACAATGATAGGTATTATATCTAGGCTTATCCCAAAGCTAAATATATGAGTAGAACAATTCCTAATTTATCTTACATAAATTGGTAAAAAGCCAAAACTTCCTACATTCATACACCCCAAACCCTACATCCAAACAGATTATAAACCATTTGAGAAAAAAAGTAACTATAGGAAGACAATCCTTAATCCAGTTTCTCCATGTACCACCAAAACCTTTTCTATTAAGAACCTTATCCAGAAAATTCCAATTTACTCTATTGTAAGCTTTCTACCAATTTATACACCATATCTTTCCTCTTTTTCCACCTTATATCCTCTGGCAATGCACACCAAAATCTGCAAGATTCTGGACAACATTAAATCCAAATTTCCTCAATACTTCCAAAATCAAAACCATAACAGCAAGTATGTAGCTTTTCCTAGATTAGTAGCAGTTGAGATTAGATTTCATCTATAAAGGAGCCTATAAATATCTGAAAAATCAGTCAATTCCAAATTTTTTTTTTTTTTGAAATAAATCAATCGATTGCAAATTGCTTCATCATTAATAATATTTTTAAAGATTTTTTTCCATTCTTCCTAAAAGGTTAATAGGTGTTGAAAGGTAAGCAGCTAACTCATCTACAGGACCATTCCATGTCAAGTGATATCAGAGCAAAATTAATCTAACATGGTTGCTCATAGAGGAGAGCAGAACTATCCTAATGACGGTGAACAATTGATGAAGACCTTGGGACAGCAATTCAGAAGAAACAGGGTGCATTGCACAAACAGCAACAAGTTGTGAAGCTTGGCTTTGAGGAGATCTGCGGAAAGTTGGCTAGATTAAATTTTGGATTCAAATAAGAATTGTGAAGAAGGCAGGTACAACCACATTGGAAATTCTTGTTGATTGTACATCCTACGAGCTATAGATAATAGATTCCCTGGATCAGTGCAGTGATGCAACTATGAGTTTTTGCCCACTAAGTTGCCAAGAAAGTAGTCCTATCCTATATCTCATCCAAGAAAGTAGTTCAGTCATGGAGAATTTGCCGGTTCTTCACTAGCTAGATACACCATACTCGGGAAAAACCGCCTCTTGCCAAAAAGGCTTAGCTTCTTTCTGTCAAGAAACCCCTTAAGGTTATTACAGAAAGAAGGGTAAGAAGGGAAATATGCACACCAAATGGAAAAAGGGAGAAAACACAGAATCAGCTGGAATCGGGGTTGACCTACCCTAAACTGGTTCAGCATGTTCCGCACCCGACACCTCTGCATTCAATGATTCTTCCCGCAGCCAACGCTTATGCAAATCCGCACTCCATCCCGTGGCCAAAGCCGCGCTCATCATCTCCACGCAAGTCCGCCATGAAGATCGTTTTATTTATTGTGTAACGGCCTATAAAAGGTCATCCTATTTTCAGTTGTAACCATGACAAGAAATCAATAAAAATCCTTTGTTTTCGTCCTTCTTTATCGTTCTTCATCTCTTCTATTTTCTTCTTCTTCTTCTCCATTATTTCTTCACATATCAGAGCAATGTCCAAAGGCTTCTGACACTTTCTTCACCCCTACTTCATAGATATTTGTGCAAATAAAGCTTTCCACTGTGGGAGGCAACAACCTTTAAAGCCCAACAATCTCACTAATCTCATCACATCCTCCAGCTAAGTTGCAATGTAGAAAAAAGGTGGAGAGTGGGGCTCACCTTCTTTGCAAAACAAAATTAACGGAGATTTTTTTTATATTATATTATAAAAGTGTAATTAAAAACCGGCACCAAGAGGGAGTCAATCCATATAGAAAAAATTTACAATAAGATCTCTAAATTCTTCATTGAGTAAAGAGAATGACCTAAAATAAAAAAACTAAGGATCTGAAACCATCTATTCCTAACCATGTCAAAATCAATATCTTCATACACCTCCCAAAAGCTCTTTATTTCTCTCATTCTAAACCATCCAAAAGATGGTAAGCAGAATGACGTTCACATGTTTCCTGCACCCGCTAATACCCTTCCAAGTCCAAATTTCATCTCTAATGGAGCCCAGTATCACCCAATTGATTCCCAAAAACCAGTAAACCATTGTCTAAAAATTGTAAACCATCGAACAATATAGAAGAACATGATTATAAGTCCCCATAGTGCTTTTACAGAGATAACAACTATTCACCGTAATCTTGCCCCTTCTCATCAATTTGTCGATACTCAGAATGTAATCGCTGTTAGCCTC